TTACAAACACGCGTGTGTGGGGGCGTAGACAGTGTGGACAGACAGTTAGTTACGATGTCGTTTGGTAGGTGTCAAACACGAGTCTAGCTCTGAGATTGGAGTGTATGCTCGGCTCACGAACAATTACTGCATTGTGGCTCAGGGTCCGAACGAAAACTTTTACTCGGTCTTTGAGGCGGAGTTGGCGGACCGTATCCCGGTGGTAAAGAGCACGATTGGAGGCACAAGCTTGATTGGTTCATGTACGGTGGGCAACTCCAAAGGTCTATTAGTTTCCTCTACCACCACTGACCAAGAGCTGCAGCATCTGCGGAACTGTCTGCCCGAGTCCGTGAAAATCCAACGGGTTGAGGAACGGCTCTCCGCATTAGGCAATGTCATTGCCTGTAACGACTACGTGGGGTTAATCCATATGGATCTGGACCGTGAAACCGAAGAAATCGCACAAGACGTTCTGGGCATAGAGCTCTTCAGAACCACTATTAACAACGAAGTACTCGTCGGCCAGTATTCGGTACTCACTAACCGAGGGGGCATCGTCCATGCCATGACCTCCAAACACGAGGTTGATGCGCTGAGCCAAATGCTCCAAATCCCCCTCGCCGCAGGCACTATCAACGGGGGCTCCGACCTCCTTGCCGCCGGCGTCGTAGTCAACGACTGGGCAGCATTCGTCGGTCAGGACTCCACCTTCGCAGAAATGTCCGTTGTTGAACAAATATGTGCGGCCGCCAACCGTTCTTAAACCAACACTGAGCCCAAAATGGTGCCACGCCACTAGGCAAATTTCAGCTCAAGACTGTGAGCCAACTTTTTGTGATGCTGTACCCGTAAGACTGCACACAGGACTGCACACAGGACTGCGCGTAAGGGGATGGTGCAAGTCCTCGACCGCGGAGGGCTGCATGGAAAAAGGTTCTCTCGGCCGAGGTCTTCGTCGAGTCCTCAGGCCTCGGCTGAGGACTCTGACTCAGTAGAAGAACCAGTTTTTCTGGGAGCCTAGTTCAAACCCTTTTTGGGCCCAGTGGGTGTCAACCTGTTCTGT